AGCTAATAAAGGGGAACTGACAGTTCCAAACATGATCACAAATGAACAAGAAGTTGAAAGGCAAATTGAGGGAAACAGCAATCAGCAACCAAAGAAGGTAAGTACAGTCAAGGACGGATCCAGGATTTCTATTCAAGGGGGGCGAAATTTTTAGGTAGTGTAGGGGGCGAAAAAATTTTCGTTAGTGTAGTGGGGCGAAATTGTTTTCCCTAGTGTAGCGGGGCTAATTTTTTCCGCTACTGTAGGGCTATGCGGCTAATTTTATTAAAAAAATGACATTAATACATACACACCCCCAATGACATTTAAATCTATTAAGTAATACATTCTAAGTTTAAATTAGACGATGACAAAGACATCAACCAATATATTTTTAATAACTTCTACATTATTTAACCTCATGAATCGGTTATTATTGAATTGTAATTTTTGTCCGGCCACCAAGGAGGGTGTTCGTGTGTCATGACTCATGAGAAGTTTTCTTAGTATTACAATAGTAGTATGTATGATATTATTATTTTTAGAATAATATGCACCACATATACACACACACACATATATTGTGCATATTATATTTTAATATTTGTATTAATGCTATAATAATTTAAAGTTTATTATCTATGCAATAAATTATTTTTAGAAAGCAAGAAGTAAATGAATTATGTAATTTAATGTCAATAAACATTTATATTTTGGATTCATTTCACGTGATCTAAAAACTGTGTAATTAGTGTGTGATATTTAATATTGTTTGATATATATTTTACAAAATCAAGTACTTGTTATCTAATAAAGATAATTAAACATTACAAAACTATAATATCTTATATAATAAGTATCCTAAATCTTAAACAACGAGTTATTCTATTGTTTATTTTTTTAAGTTATGTTCCTTCTTTTAAATCTTCAATTAAGTATTACATTATGTAACCCTATATATTAATTTTGAAAATTAAAAACTAAGGGGGGCGAATCTAATTAAATTATGAAAGTTTTATGAAAATATTACATATATGGTAGAAAATTTTGAAAGTCCAAGGGGGCGGTCCCCCCCCCCCCCCCCCCCTAAATCCATCCCTGAGTACAGTAGTATGTAATTTTAAGAGAGAAATTTGGGTAAATATATAAATGAGAATTAGAATTTCTAGATATGAGTATTTAATACAAAATAATGAGTTTATGCAGGAACTTAAAGAAAAAGAAAGATAAAAATGTTACAAAACCATGGATAAAAATTTTAATGACTGAATAAATAAATGTAATAAACGTATATGCTTAGTTCATTTTGTAATAAGAGTGTAAAATATGTGACATGAATTTATTTTAGTCTAAACTCAATAATAAAATGAAGAATGCTCAATTACTATTCTAACATTAATCATTAAATAACTACAGGACATTATGAAGGAATTTGCTGCAGCCGCGAAGAATTTGGCAGAAAGCATGGCCAGTTTTGATGAAAAGTTTCAATAGGCTACAAAGTTGTTACGTGATGATGAGAAGATGAAGGTTTTAATGGGAGAAGTCCATGGGCTTTTCAACACATATTCCCCATAAAAGGAGAAAGAAAAAGAAATTGAAACTGAAGTATCATTGACTCTGGATGATGGATTTTGGACAGAAGAAGTGCTCAAAGCAGTTGAAGCTATTGAAATGGCTCAAAAGAAAAGAGTTGAGAGGCCAACTTTCAAGTTACTTTCATAGGAGTCAAATGAAATGGTGAATAGTTATGAGGATGATGTTGAGCATATTAATGAAGTATTTGAGCAGGCAGGCAATGGTATTGAGCACGCAGAGGACGGTGACGGTGAGAAAATGAATAAAGATAATGAAAATGTTGAGGATGTTAATGAGGATGAAGAGGAAGCTGAAAAGGAAGGTGAAGAAGACAGAGACAGAATGTCTAGAAAGGGTAAGGAAGTTGCACAAGATCACATTGACCCAAAAGAGAAGAAAATGGAAAGAGGAAAAAGACAAACAGCCCTAACAGCTGCTTTGAAGTCCCCATACATGAAGAGGGTCATAGATGCAAAGACAACGCCTGGCAGTGAAGAAAGAAGACTTGCAGGTTTTGTGTTCAATGATCATTGTGACAAGAAGTAAGTACACAACAATTTTTACTTAATCATATCGTTTAATAGTATTGAACATTTAATATTTAAGTTTACTCATTCTGATCTAGTGATGCTTTTGAAACACTGTTGTGTTGTTCAAGAATCATAACTTAACTCTTTCGAAAGCTCAGATGGAAACACTGAGGAGCAACTTAAAAGTTGATGTTGAAGTCATAGGTATATGGGCAATGATGCTTAACCATAATGAAAAGTTCAAAAGCCTTCAAGCTAAAAGCAAACCGCTTTTCTCTCAACAAAACCATGTGTAAGAAGTACATATTTATTTAGTAATACCTAAATGAAACTAATATGCTATAATATTTAATGGCAGCAAGTGCTAGATCAAAATCATGTGAGCGCTCTACAAACAAGGAACAAAAGGTTTGTTGCAGCTATTGGTATGAAATTTCCCAAGGCAGAAGGCAATAAGTTGAGGACAACAAACCTATTCATATTCACGGATGAACATAATGGGTGCTACTACATGATGTGGTTTGACTTGAAGAACATGAAGTTCTACATTATTGATAGTAGCGATGGAGATATATGTCCTGGAGTGAAGTACTTGTTTCAACCGGCTTACCTGGTAAATGTTTTATATATTTCTTTTGATTATATTACATATGGTTAAATAATGTGATCAGTTAGTATATGAGTAATGTGCACTTGATAATTGAGTAAGATATATAGAAACTATGTGCAATAACACAAAAATATGTATAAGTCATTTTTTGAACTTTTTAACTACAGAGAAGTGCAATTGTGAAATTTCTTCGAGAACAAAAACACCCAAAGGCAGATCAGGTTGTGAATTGAAGCTGAAGGAACAAATGGTTAAAATGCATTGGAGAAATAACAAAAACAAAACCAATGAGGGAGTGTATTTGATGAGGCATATAGAGACATTTAATGGCGACACAACATGGGAATGTGGACTAGACAAAGAAAGTGTAAGTTCAAATTTTGTTAATATAGGTTTAAAACATAATAATTATGTGAAAACTTGAATATCTAAATTATAATGTGTGTACAAGAAAAAACCATTTGAGATACTGAGGATTAAGTACTTGCATGCCATAGTCACATTTGAGAAGAATGAGATCAAGAAGGAGGTCATGGAACAAGTGAAGACACATAATGTGTTTATCTAAAAGATATGTAATGCTATTGTGACATTATGATTGTGGGTGTTGATGAACATATGGTTGTTTTTTAATTCATCAATCATAAGATGTTTTTTTATCATATCAATCTTAAGATGTTAAACACTATTAGTATTTGTTATATTATTCTTAATCTTGGTTGACAATAATCATGGTTGTAATATTGAACGATGACATATGCATATGTGAAGTTTATATTAATGATCATTATTAGTAAGTTCTACGCTCATTTCATTTGTTAATTACTTATACACAATTTTAATGACTGGCCCCTTAAAGTTAAAATCTTTCAGTATGAAAGTAGGTCAACTTATTTTCCTATTAAAAAAATAGTGGGGAAGTGTTTTTTTCCAAGTATTAGTAAGTTAGTTATAATGGTGTAAGTAAAGTGACTACGAATTGAAATAGCTAATTTTATGTAAATGTGTGTTTTTGGGAAAATACATATATATTTGTTGTGTTCATTGCGAAATAGTAAATATATACATTAATGATGATTGTAATATTGAATGGTGACATCTGCATATAAGAAGTTTATATTAATACTTATTACTAGTAACATGTACGCTCATTTTATTGGTTACTATACACAATTTGAGGACTGATCAATTGAACTTAAAAACATTAAGTTTGAAATTAGGTTTACTAATTTTCTTATTAAATACCGACAGGGGAAGTGCTTTTTCAAGCAATAGTAAGTTATTCATAATGGCACAAGTGAAGTGAGTAAGATATGAAATATTGAATTTTATGTGAAAGTGTTTTTTTAAAGCAAAAGAGTTCATATTTAATTCGAAATAGTAAACACAGTTTAATGAGTCTTGGATTCAAAATTCATTTCAAATTCAACAACTAAAAAACTAAATTCATTTCAATACTCATTTTGTTAACATGTGTTGCTCATTAAATTAGAAAGAAATGCTCAAAAGAATATTATATCAGGGAAATGTATTGATGGATAATCTACCCGGGGGTATCTTATCCGAGGGGTTATTGCAGGAATAACTAGAGAGAAGTCAGAGCAAAATAGGAGGAGAGAGAGTTGATTTTATTAAATGAACTCAGCTTGTGGAAGTGGTCTCTTTTACAAGGAGAAATGGGTTGCTATTTATAGCAGCAATAAATGCGATGAGAGCACACGTGTCAGTAATCCAACGGCCGAGGGGTCACATCAGTCGGGTGGCACCGGCAGTGGTACGTCCACCGCATTGAATGCGGTTGGCGGATGTGACGTTGCATTAAATGCGGTGGTTGGCTGTCTCCAAAGGGAATCTTCGATGATTGAATCCGTTTAGCCGAAGGCTCCTTGCGTAGCCGAGGGCTTTATGTATGGCCGAGGGCTTATATGGTCGGAGGTCCTACGTAGCCGAAGGCTTGGATAGCCGAAGGCTTTTACCGGTACCGAGGGATCAATATGCCGAAGGCTCCTGTTTTCTGCCATTTTCTCCCAGTAGCTTCGTATGCCCAAAAAGGCTATCCTGTGAGTTCTGGAGCCTTCGGCCAAGGAGGCCGAAGGCACCCAGTGTGTAATTTGGGCTTGTTTGAGACTCGGGCCGCCGAGTTTGGGCCTAAGATGTTCCTCGGGGCTCAATGGACTTGTGCAGGAGAAGTAGGAGTCTATAGGCCGGGGGTTCCTGGGCCTATACTCCATCATGTATGACTCAATGAAAGTAAAAATTACAACAAAAACATAGAGAGAGAAACACATGTAAAGTCTAAAAATGCAGATAACAGAAACTAAAATGATGATAAAATTAAAGATAAAAGATCAAACAACATGTACTTCTTTGAATAATATAACAAGTATTTAACCAAATACAAAGCTCTTAAGAGTGTTTACAATTTTCAAGGTCAATAATTGATGTACTTGCTGTAGTTGACTTTTTCCTTCCTCGCGCTTGATTTGATTTAATCTCAACAATACTTTTGCGCCGAACATTTCTTTCACCTTTTTTCCTTGAACCTTTGGGATTAGAAATTGTACCAACTCTAATTGAAGCTGAATCACTGTCTGAGAAGTAAACACTGCCAACTTGTTCTTCAACATCATGTTTCAACTTTTTGAACGATTCTTCACGAAGCAGCCTCACTGACGCATTAGAATCACTAGAACACAAAAGTTTGTGAAGTTTCCTTTGCATTTGCATTCTTCAAACAGAAGGCAAAACATTAGAAGTGTTGGATATCATAAATGACTGACTTTGTTCAACTGACTTTGTTATTCAAGTCCAACGTTTTAAAACATAACAATCAGGAAGAACTTCAATGCAGTGGATATGATATATACGAAGACTATGGCAGCACAAAATACCAACTTCTTGAAACCTCTTACATGAACAATTAACAAAATGTGATGTCGTGTGATATGAAACCCAATGTGAAAACTGATCAATATGAGCCATCCATACTAAATATCCAATAACAGAACCAACACAATGTCTAACCTCATGTTTCAAAGATATAGCATGAACAAACTCCTTCTCAAACAGCTTGTAAGCATTAATCGTGTAAATTTGAGAAGCTGCATGTAATATACCAAGATGTGAGATTGCTATCTCGGGGAAGCCATCCTAACAACGTTCTTGATCTGATCTCTCATGACTCCGCCATTCACTAACAGCTTCACAAAAGAAATGATAGAAATCACAAAGAGAGGACGTTGCATTCAACTTTCTAGACAGAGAATTATTCGTTGACTCGCTTCTTTGTGAGGATAAATTGCCAGCAGAAAAGTACTCTTATGAAAATGTTGGACACCATTTCTCCCTAATTCCATAAAGTTTCTTCAACCATGGATTATCAGAATAATTGAATGTAGTCACCATCCTACAAAAATAAAAATAAAAAAGAACAATAGTATACTCATCAAAATGAAGCTATTACTCATTCGGAAACAATTGACCGTGTAAATAATAAATTAATAAAAAAAGAAAGAAAAAAATTTCAATAATGGATAATACCTGTTCCAATAATACTCAAACTCAAAATTGGGGGCACGATCATACGAAAAGCAATCGACAACTTGTTGGATCTGGCAGCGTCACGAAGGACTGACAATTTCCTCTTCTGGGATGTGGCACGAGCTATGGTTTTATCAAAATAAACATTTATCAAAATAATATGAAAATGTTTACGAATTAACAAACCTGCATCCTCTCCCCATATGTAGCAAAGGTTAAGTTTTAAAAAGTAGTAAAATGCCTTAAATAAACTTAGCAAATGAGGTCATTCAGATTAGTTTCCCAACTTTTTGTAAATCTTTGAAACTCTGGTCGAAAATATGTAGGCCGAAAAACATGGCTTGAAAAAAGTAGCTTGGCAAAAAGTGCAAAGAGAGCAAACATCTTATTCTCCATATGATTCCCATATATAATCTCTTACGACGATGTCATCTTCTCACTGCATTTTAATGACAATTATTTCCATATCAAATTTTTCATAATTTCGAAGGTCAAAGTTTTAGCTAATCTTTCAATCCAATATTTAATGTGTTTCATATTTTAAGTCAATTTCTTGCTTTTCCCACTGATATCCACATGAGTGCAGCTCACAGGATACTTAGATATCTTAAAAGCTCTCCAGGTAAAGGTTTATTATATCCTTCTGTTTCTAATTTTTCTATACAAGGCTATACTGATTCTGATTGGGTTGTTTGTATTGATACTAGAAAAAGTGTTTCTGGATATGCTTTTTACCTTGGTAGTTCTTTAATTTCCTGGAAATCTAAGAAACAAGAGGTAGTCAGTAGGTCATCCACTGAGACAGAATATAGGGCATGTGCAAATGTTGTTTGTGAGGTTCAGTGGTTATACTATATTCTTAATGATTTACATATTCAGTTTACTTTACCTATGATTATATATACTGATAGTAAATCAACTTATCATCTTGCTCACAATCCTATTAAACATCAAAGAACTAAACATATTAAAAACAATTTTCAACTTGCAGATATACTATCATACTATATACCAAGGCTCTTGGAAATCCTTTGTTCAAACAATTTGCAGTCAAGATCAATATGCAAGACATACATGCTCCTCTTGAGAGGACGTATCAAGACTAAAGTTGGACTGAGATTTATTTTATTATGTATTGGGCCTTACTACTCGGCCCTATCCATTTTAGTTGTAATCAGTATATATGTAATAGGTCCATTCTATTTTCAGTAACCTAGCATTCCATTCTGCAGACATTCGTTCATAGTGCTCAAACTCTCTGTAGCTTGAATTCAATCATCTTCTTCAATCAATCCAAATTCATGAGTTCAATCATTAACATTGAAGTATCATGAAGTGGAAATTGCCGAATTAAAGAGAGGATGTATCACAAGAGTTAATAAGTTGTCCTTCCGGGATGAAATATCATTCTTTTTGTTAATAAATTGTCATTGATTCATGAATGATAAAACAGAGAAATGGTTTAATTTTATCCGTCAATCTCATATCATCACTTATACATTCAAACCATATACTCCACTTCGTATCAATTATGGCAAATGGTGAAAAATAATTAGGATCGAAATTAGGTTCTTTTAATGATGGGAATCCGTTGAAACTGGTTTTTAAAAAATAAAAGGACACATTAATAATGTAAAAAGTAAAGCAAAAGTTGTAGTCATAGGAACTTGATTGGAGTTTATTACTCCGTATCTTATAGCCCACTTGTCCATTGACACATAATTTGATTTCTATGGGGTAAGGGGGTAATAGTAATACATGAGGGACAAGATTTAAGGTCCTCTAAGTGGTAACAATATGTAATTTCTTGATTATATATTCCTTCCAAAATAACCTGATAATGTGATTTATCTTCCCTCCATACGCCTTATAAATAGAATTGACAGTGGATGAAACCATTGTATTGATCATTTATGGCAAATGGGTGACAATTAATGGCCAAAAAAATCAGCCATGAATGAATTGAGTAAGTGAATTGAATTTGGAATGTACTTTTTATGAGTGGACAAATTGGTTTTGAACAGTATTGACCGAATTAAACTTAAATTAACCCGAAACATATACTCAATTTATTCTAATACACCATATTTCATCGTATATTCGTATATGTTCTTTCGTTTAAAGCATTTTTTATCTCATTCTAAAGATTTTGTATGTATTATTCTGAAATTCAAAAAATGAGTAGGACCACAAATGGACAAAGTGAAAAATGTAGATTAAAAGGGAAATTGGAATAAAATCATAGGACCAAAATGAAAGTATGAATAGGAATTTTAGAACTCGGTAAGATCTTTCCATATCCTTTATCTGAACTTCAACGCAAGACATAACGATCCTTTATGCTAGTCAAAAATATTTGAAGCTTGAAACATAGGTGTGCATCGCACGATTCATCTGTAGGGGTGTGTGGATTGCCTTCTAATATGGTGGAAGAAATTTATATATCCTTAAACTTTTTGTGTGAGAGCAAAACCATGCCATTCAACTCATTGAGAGCATCTACATTAATCTCTTCAAATAAACAGATTTTTTATGAGTCACCACCGCCACATCATCTATATCATCAAGTTAAGTTGATCTCCAAAGAAACTCAACAACGAGGATATCCTTAGGAACAATTAAATGTTCTTCGGGATTTCTTAATGGTATCAAGTGTTTTGATGTGTCGAGTCATGAACTCAAGCTTAAGGTGAGTGTGCCTATGATGCTTATGAGAACATATATCACACTGTTGGGTTATGCAATGGTACGAGACTCATGGTAACCAAACTCGGGACTCATATTATTGAGACTCAGATGATGTCAAGATCGAATGCTGGTGAAAAGTATCTTATTCCCTGACTTAGTTTAAAGCCTACGGACTTGAAGCTCCCTTTCACGTTTTAGCGCAGACATTTTCTCTTATGGTTAGTTATGTGTTGATGATTAATAAGAGTCAAGGACAATCGTTAGAAAAGGTTGAAATATTCTTGCAGCGTCAGGTTTTTACTAATGGACAATTGTATGTTGCGGTATCAAGAGTTACAAGTCCATCATAGTTAAAATTTGTCATATGTGACGACGATTGTCCATCAAGCAATAATGCTTTAAATGTTGTTTACAAAAAAGTGTATAACAATTTATAATTTTTTTCATATGTGATTCCTTAGATGTTAAATCTTATACTACAAATGTTTAAATTATACTTCTATTATCATTTAAATTTTTACTAGTAAACTCAACAACAAGAATGCCCTTAAGAACAATTAAACATAATGTTTTAAGATATACACACCCTTTAATCACTTGGATATTAGAGCATATTTGTTCTAATTTTACACTTTTTGTGTTTAATTGTTCATATTAAATGAGAGTTTTGTAAGATCATCTCTATATAATCAAACGGTTTCAATCTACATACAATACTACAATAGGTGTCATAGTGTTAAAATCTTAAGCCACAAAAAATTGCTCCTAACTTTAACGAGTTCGTATACCGTACAGCCGGCCGTACGGTGAGCATCGTACAGCCGGTGGCATTTTTGTAATTTAATTGGAAATCAAGACTTCTATTAAATGAGCATTAATGCATTGCTAGTGTGCATCAGACTTATTTTGTTGAGCATTAGAAGTCAAATATTGAGCATCGTGAACTCTGTTGCAGTTCTTGTAATTCACTTTAGTTTTAGTATTTTTTAAAATATCTATAATGAATACTATCGTATGTATGAATCCAATACGCAATTCTACTGTAATATTATAATTTTTAAATATGCATGAATATGACATTATAATATGAGCATTACACCAATACCAAATGAGCATACACAACTTACAATAGAGTATCGAAAAATTCAAAAAACTCATTTAAATCTCTTTGTATGCTTAAAATGAGCATACCTTACTTACGAAATGAGCAATGAAAATTTTAAAATGAGCATTACACTCAAATGCATAAATATGAAATTTTAAATGAGTATTCCACTAATAGTAAATGAGCATACATGACTTATGAAATGAGCATCGAAAAATTAAAAAAAAAAAAACTCATTCAAAATATCTATTATGCTCAAATATTAATTTGTGTGCGCTCATATATTCAAATATTAAGATCCAAGTTTAAAGTCAAAATCATCCCAATTTGTGTATGAATCCAAGGACGTGGATGATGGTGTAGGAGTAGCAATTTGTGGTTTAAAGACAAAATCATCCCAATTGGCTTGTGTAGACGGCAAAGGATTATCCATAGCCCATAGGTTTTGTAATCGTTTTGTCTTCAACGAAAATATTTTTAGGGATCTCTTCTGCAAATAACCAAACATCTTTAGTAATTCGAACCAGACTAAGGCAGATCCATCCACTTTGCTACAAACTTAGCGACACAAGTTTTTTCTTCAAATCTCACAGCAATTTTCTAAAGCTTTTGCAGCATCGTCCGGAGAACAGAAAGGTCGGAGTTCAACCTGCAAATCGTCTATCTCCATTGCTCTGGAAGTCGGTGCTGCTGCAGTCCGCCCAATGTCGATCGTTTTTCCTGTGCGTCATGTATTAGTTAACAACCTTAAGAGTCCAGTATATTACAAAAATACCCAGATGTATCATACTCAAGGTACATTCGGTTGTAGGATATAATTTATCAACTTTAACCACATGCGTAGTGTCCGATTGGCTTATCGATCTTAGCCACGCTTTCACAAAACACGTAACTTTTTCGGTAGTGTAATTATCAAGTTAGAGCCACTTTTCTGACTGGATTGGATAAAGTTACTGTAGATAATCATGTTAGTTGTTTCCTTATTTTTTTACTAATAAAATACCGAGTATATTTCAAATATTTCGTATATTTTTTTTCATAATTTTGTAAAAGCCATCGATCCAACAACTTCAACTTGATCTTCACCATTCTCAGCATCCATTCAATCAATTTTTTTGTATTAAAACAATGACGAAAAATATCTACAAATTAAACGGTAGTAAACGCAATCTCGGAAAAGGGCAACGACAACTAATTGAAAGCCAAAAAAGAAGGTTGCATTTGCATAACGACTTCCTTTAATGACCAATTGTGCCATAATCAGCATTTATTCAAACACAGTAATAAATAGCAGTAGTAATATGCACTTGTTGGCAGTTGACATTATCTTTGCCCCACCCCACTCAATGATCAACATCACATTCAGCCGTTGATGTCATCATCATGTAAAAACAACAAATCCAAAATACGTACCCTCCTACTTATTTTCATGAATGTAATTAGCATAATCATAGTAAATAAATCATAATAAAGGTAAATTGTAATTAGCTAATTGTATTTTCACTGTCAATCATAATTTTATCATTCTCATTATCGTCCCACTTCCATAGCAGCATGTCATTAAACCCTTCCCAGATTTCATCGTATCCTTCAA